CTATAAAGCAGTCTGACAGAAACTAGGTATTGACTAAAATTTCACACTATAACCAATTTAAGGTCCAAATGGGTAAATGACTTAGAAATAAAGGACAAAATCATCAACAAATTAGAGGAGCAAAGCAGAAATTATCTGCCAGATCTATGGCTAGAGGAAGAATTCGTGACCAAAGAGGTGCAGCCAAGATGACTGAGTAGTAGGAAGCAGTGCAGTGCACTCCACTCCACAAACCTCTCCAAATAGATCTATAAAGGGCACCAGACTGAATCCTAATGGGAGAATCCAGACAAAAATCACAGTGAGTCATTTGTCCAGCCTAACTCAGGATAGGAAGACAGGTAGATCTGCAGACAGAGGGGATGGGTCAGGGTAGGAACATTCCACTTGCAAGTACTGTAGGACCCAGAGACATCATGCACCAGGGGATAGAGGGAGGCCATACACCAAGGCAAGAGGAAATACCAAACCCACACCAGAGCTCTGCAACTAGGACAGGTGCCAATTGACAGCTTTTTTTTTTTTTAATTTCTTTGGTTTTTATTTTTTTGGTGAGGCAATCAGGGTTAAGTGATTTGCCCAGGGTCACACAGCTAGTAAGTGTCAAGTGTCTGAGGCTGGATTTGAACTCAGGTACTCCAGACTCCAAGACTGGATCTCTATCCACTGTGCCCCCTAGTCGCCCCTCAAGTGACAGCTTTGAAGGTCAGTACCTAGTTCCAAGTCATAGATCAGGGCAGAATGTGAAGAGGATCTCGAAACGGGATTGGCATTCCAGGGGAATGGCATCACCAGTTAGGGAGGCTCTGGACTGTTTATGAAGAAAGAAGGAAGTTCAGGAGTCAGCAGCAACAATAGCTATGAAGCTCAGGTTCCAGGCCCAGAGCAGAGCCTCCCTTAAACAACCCCTGCAGGGGAATAACCAAACTAGACCAAAGAGGAGCCTACAATTCTGCCACTCAGAACCAAGAGAACTTTCCAGCTGACTGATAGGGGCTGAGTTGGTAGCAGTTTATTCGTACACAGACCCAAACCCAGGCCAAGAATTTGCAGAGCTTAGACCAGTGGGCAGCATCAAGAATTTACACTGGATCAGATTGTTTGGGGAGCACTGAAAGCTCACAGGTCCCCATCAAGTCCCTGAGATTCTAGAATAATATAACAATCGATACTTCCAGAAAGTAGCAACAGGACCAGTTGAGATCTTCCCTACAGAAGTCTAGCAGAAAGCAACCATTACACCAAGTCTGAAGACAGGAAGTAGGCTAGAAGAATGTGCAAACAAACAAAGAACCCCACCAAAATGAGCTATTATTGTGGTAGGGAAGCTCAAGATACAAACACAGAAGAAGAGAATGACTCAAAAACATTCACAAGCAATGCCTCAGAGAAAAACACTCTTGGGGCATAAACTCAACTAGAATTCATGGAAGAGATGAAGCAAGATAAACAAAAGAGTAACAATGTTTTTATGTATGAAATGAGAGCACTCAAGAAAAAAATCAGATGAGAAGTGAGAGCTATAGAAGAAAGAATTAGAAGGGGAATTAACAGCTTAAAAAAAGACATACAAAACCTTGCCAAAGCAAAAAACTCCTTGAAAATCAGAATAGCCCAAATCGAAGCCAATGACTCTATGAAGGCAACAGGGAATATTAAAGTCGAAAGAATGAGAAAAAAAATAGAAGAAAATGTAAGGTATCTCATAGTAAAAACAACTGACCTGAAAACAGATTGAGAAGAAAAGAATTATGAATCATTAGACTATGAATGCCAGGACCTAAAAAAGAGCCTAGACAGCATATTTCAAGAAATCTTAAAAGAAAACTGCCAAGATCTCTTAGGTCCAGAAGGCAAATAGGAAATAGGAAAAATCCACTTGTCACCTCCTAAAAGAAAGCCCCCAAATGAAAATTCCTAGGAATGTCTTACCTAAACTGTATAGCTCTCTGGTCAAAGAAAAAATACTACAAGCAGCCAGAAAGAAAGAATTCAAGTACCAAGTTGCTGTAGTTACAATTATACATGATTTAGCAGCTACCAAGATAAAGGAACTACCTGAGAACTTGAAATATGATATCCCAGAAGATAAAGGATATAGGATCTCAGCTAAGAATAACTTGACCAACAAAACCAAGTATAATACTACATGGGGTGAGGGGGAGGGGGGAAATCTTTAATGAAATAGAGGACTTACAAACATTCCTGATCAAAAGAGCTAAATAGTAGTGATAACCTAGAATGGGAAGAGACTTGAGGCAGGGAGACCAACCAGAAGGCTATTGCTATAGTTCAGGTCTGAGGTGATGAGAATCTGTAGCAGGCAGGTAGCCATTTAAAATGTCAATAGGCAGAGATTTCACACTACCGGTCAGCAGAGCAGTTAAGGCTAGATAAACAAATCTGAGAATCATCTTTTCAGAGATAATAATTGAATCCATAGGAGGTGATGACATTGTGGAGTGAAAAAATATATAGGGAAAAGAGAAGAGGTCTCAGAATAGAACCTTAAGAGACATCCACTGTCAGCAATAGTGACCTGAATGAAGATCCTGAAAATAGGTAAAGAGCAATCAGACAGGTAGGAGGAGAACCAGGAGAAAACAGTGTCAAAAACCTAGAGAAAAAGTATAAGGAGAGGAGATTTATACTGTCAAAAACTGAAGAGAGGTCAAGAAGAATGAAAATCGGGAAAAGCTCAAATTTGGTGATTGAGAGATCATTGGTAACTTTGGACAGAGCAGTTTCAGTTGAATGATGAGGTCAGAAGCCAGACTAAAGAGAGTTTAGAAGAGTGAGAAGAAAGGAAGTGGAAGCACTATCTGAAGGAGTTTAGCCAGGAAAGAGAGAATAGACATGGAATGATAGCTAGCAGGGATAATCTATCAGGTGAAGATTTTTTTTTTAGTATAGTGGAGATGTGGGTGTGTTTTTAGGCATTAGGGAAGCAGCCAATAGATAGGGAGAGACTGCAGATAAGTGACAGAATGGGGTTAATAGAGGGGGAAATCTACTAGAGAAGGTAATGTGGAATGGGCTCACTTGTGCATATAGAAGGGTTTGTCTTTTCATGTGAGACAATGATAAGTGAAGGAGGAGGGGGCTGTAGAGGACTGAATGATGCAAGATGAGGAGGAAAGAGGAAGGAGTACTCAGTCAATGGCCTCAATTTTTGTCAATGAAACATGAAATGAGGTTCTCAGCTGAGAGGGTGAGAGGAGAGGGAGTCATGGGAGATTTAAGAAGGGATGAAAAGGTTTGGAAAGGCTGCTGTAATGAGTGGGATGCTGACTTGAATTTGTTGTTGTTCAGTCATTCCAGACTCTTCATGACCTCATTTTGAGGTTTTATTGGCAAAGATACTGGGGTGGTTTGTCATTTCCTTTTCCAGATGAGGAACGGAGGCAAACAGGTTTAAGTGACTTGCCCAGGGTCACACAGCTAAGGCCAGATTAGAACTTATGAAGATGAGTCTTCCTGATTCCAAGCCCAGTGCTCTATCCACTGCACCACCTCACTGTCTCAGTGAATTGAATAGGGAGGTATAAAAGAATTACATTGCTGCAGTGAAGTTGAGATTAAGTTAAATAAATTTGTAGTGGACCCAGTTAGCATAGTTTTGTGGTTTTTCTCTATCTCCATTTAACATCATATGAACAAGAGTGAAGGTGGTGGACAGGGCATGCGATGCATGATCAATAATCAGATAAGGGGACAAGGAACTAAAGAGAAGAGGATAGTGAAGGGTTGAATTGGTTCACCAAAGATGTGAAGATGGGGATGGGAGGAGAGTGTAGCCAGTGCAGGAGTGATGACCTGGTAAAGAAATGCAGTATGCAAGAATTAAAGGGTATGAAAGAATAGGATTAAGTGTTGTAACGCAGCGGTAACGATGGAATAATAAAAGATTTATGATCAGATAAAGTAATTTCAGAGTTCACAAACATGGGAAGTAGGACACTTGTTTGTGAGATCAAGGGTGTGACTATCTCTTGGTGTGGCTGAGGTAAAGTGGAGGAGTAGGTCATGGAAAATGAGAAGGTAGATCGTTTGCTGGAATATTAACATGTATATAACGGTCCCCTTCTAAGAGGGCAGGCATTGAGAAGGAGTCGAGTTGAAAAGAAGGAGAATGTCTTAGGGGCCAGCAGAGTAATAGCTATGAGAACCTCAATTGGATGCTAAATATCAATTGAATGACCCTCAAAGGAGAAGAGGTATCTGAGTAAAGGTGGTAGAGGGAGTTCTCCAGTCTGGAAATGGCAATGGGAGAGGAAAGGTGGAAACGCGATCACGGCTGGAAAGGGTGGCCGGGGATTGCCAGATTATCAGGAGGGAGGGAGTGCATTCTCAGTGAGCAAAAGAAGAGTGAAGGAGTAAGAAAGGAAACAGCTTAAGATGAAAGCAACTTTGTTACTATCAATAATGCATTTCAATTAGAATTGAGGTCTAGAAATGGGGTCGCATTCTTCCCTTGTTCCCCTTTTTATTTTCGTTGCATACCACAGAACCACTAAAGGAGGATTGTAAATAACACTTCATTCCCCGGGTCTCCTATTAAAACCTAGGATTTAAAACAGCTGGTTCTGAGGCGGCCTACCCGGTTTAGGACAGTAGAGGGACCTCGCGTTTTCAGTCCAAGCTAAAAGTGAGGTCACATGGAGGGGGGTTTCCGGGTAATCTGAAAAGATGTGAACGTGTGTCCGGAAGCCCGGAGTTTCCGGAAGGTTGAGGGAGACTTCCAGGCGAGTTGGAACTCGTGGAGCGCTGGGGTGCCTCCGTGGCCAAATAGCCTGGTGGTTAAAATCGAGAAGGGTTGAATTTTGGTGGAGAGGCGGAGACTCAGAGTAGGCGGCTCAGGGTTGGCGCTGCGCCTCAAGCGGCGGCTACAGCAGCACTAGCAGCAGCACTAACAGCGGCACTTTCTTGTAGGGGCCCAGCCCCAGGCCCCGCTGGGCGGGCGGGCGCGGCGCCGGGATGCGCCGGGCTGCCTCGCTTTGCAGAGCGCGCGCCCCGCGCTCCCTCTAATCTGCTCGTGCTGCGGCTCCCCGGGGATGAGCGGAGCGGAGAGGTTGTGCGTTCGCGATGCTGCCTTGCGGCAGGGAGAGTCGGCCCTCCTGGTTTTTTCTACCTGCTTGGTGAAAACGCTTCGATCCGAAATGACAGGTGAGAAGCACGAGTGGAGAGGAGTACTAGAGGAGATGGGCGGGGAAGGGAGGGTAGGGAAGGGGAGAGGAAGAGGGAGTCATCATCAATCAATTCGAAATTATATCAAGCGCTTCACGCAGTGCTAGGCTCAGGGAATACAAGTACAAAGACTGAAACAATCTCTCGTGCTCGAAGGGCGCTTATATTCTAATGGGGAGAAACAAGCACATAGAAATATAAATACATATTATATTATCTATTATAATATATCAGTCTTAGCATGTTAGTTTTATGCTTATATAATTTAATCAACAAGCATTTATTGAGTGCCTATTGTGCGCCCCTATGCTAATCAGCTAATGATAGCCAATAATAGCTTACATTTATATATGTTCCAGACACTGTGCTAAGTTCTTTACAGTTATTTTCTCGTATACATATATGCACGTGTGTGTATAATTTGGTATATCAATTGCTACACAAATACAAATAATTGCTATATAAATACAAATTGGTATTTATATTTGTGCTGTGTGTATATACATATGTATACATATACACACAGCACAAATATAAATTCCAACATATACATAGTTTAGTACTAGGTAGTTTGAGAGGGAAGGCACCAGCAGTTGAAGAGGGAGTCCGGAGAGGCTTCATGCAGAACGTGTTGCCCGAGCTGAGGAAGATGGTGATTCTTTGAGGGGGAGATAAGGAAGAAATGCATCCCAGACTTGGAGGATGGCCAGTGCAAAGGCATGGAGTTTGGAGATGGAGAATTGTGTAATGAGGAACAGAGAGAATCAATCAATCTGTAAATAAACCTTAAGCGCCTACTATTTACCAGGCACTAAGCGCTGGGCTCTGTGCTGAGAGATGGGCCAGTTTGGCTGGTTTGCAGAGTGTGGAGGGGAGAGAGTAAGTAGCTGGTGCCCCTGGAAATGTAGGTTAGAGAACAGTTCCTACTAAATGGCTTAGGGTTAGATTTACTTGGGTGCCTTTCCTCATAGATTCTTCTTCAGAGACTTTATTTTTAAATAGGGTTTAGTGATCTTAATCTCTTCAGGAAGCTGGTGAACCTTCCTTCTCTATATGTGGTTTCCTCTAATTAGCATCAGAACTCCTTGTGGCCGGGGACTGGCTTTTCTATTTGTGTCCCCTGCACTTGGGAAGTAGTAAGAGCTTAATAAATGCTTTTTAATTCATTCATTTCATCTTGTTAACAAATCACTCTTTTATAGTTTATACCCATAGTATGCCACAATATTTGAAATAAGGCTGTAATATAATGAGCACAATAATATTCATTTTTTTAAAGTTTTGATGCTTTTTATTTTTAATCAATTTTAAAGACATTTTATTTTATTTTTTTGCAAGGAAATTGGGGTTAAGTGCCTTGCCCAGAGTCACACAGCTAGTAAGTGTTATGTGTCTGAGGTCAGATTTGAATTCAGGTCCTCCTGACTCCAGGGCTGGTGCTCCAAACACTGTGACACCTAGCTGCTCCCGATTTTATTTATTTTAATATATCCTTGCCCCTTTATCTGCCTTCCCCTGTAGCAAAGAAAAAAACAAACAAACCAGGAACAGTTAAACAAACCAAAATATGTATCTACATTGTCAGGTAACATGGGAAACATTTCACACTCAGAGCCCCCCCCCACCTCCCCAAACAATAGGATATATATCTAAGTTTCTTGTCAGTTTGTTACATAAACAACAATATCATCTTAGTATGTTGTTTTTAATGCTTATGTAATTCAGTCAACAGGCATTTACTAAGTGCCTATTATGTCCCTAAGCTAGCCAGCTAATAAATAGCTCATAATAATAGCTAACATTTATATATGTTAGCTCATAGCCCCCTTAGCTCCAATTCTTTATAATTATCTCATTTGATCCTCACAACAACCCTGTGAGGTGTAAGTGCTGTTATTATCCCCATTTTATAGATGGGAAAACTGTTAAGAGCTGTTAAGTGACTTACCCAGGGTCATACAGCTAGTAAATGTCTAAGGCTGGATTTGAACTCAGGTCTTCTTTCCTCAAGGCCTGGTGCTCTACCCACTGTGCCACGTAGCTAGTGATAAAAGACAAAAATAAAACCCCTGCCATCAAGAAGCTTTTATTTTTTGAGGTAGAGACAACTTATACAACAATTACTCCACGTAATTGTGTTTAGAGTTTGTAATAATACCACATTTCCCCCATACCTTCCCCTCCTACCCCCTCTTCCCCCCTCCCCCGCATTAGATGGCCTGCTCTTAAACTTTAGTGTAAATTATCGTTTAATGTTCTTTTTTAAATACATGCCCTCTGCTTCATGAATGAACATTAAATGTGTATGAAGTACTAGATTTTTTTCTTCCCTGCAGTCCTGCAGTCCATGGTCCTTAATCTAAAACTTACCTTTCAGGATCAGTAACTCCAAGGGCACTCCGAGCCCTTTTCTTTGCTCAGTATCTCTTTCATCAGAACTCTGTTTGCAGATTGAAGCATATTTTTTTAACTTCTTTATTTTTCATGCTTTATTATTGTAACATGGCTAATGTGGAATTATGTTGGGGGGTTTTTTTGTTTGTTTTTGGCATGGCTTCATATATATAAAATGCCAGAAAACTTAAAAAAAAAAAGTCTCCTTCATCATTTACCTCCTCTCAGGGGCTGGACTTTATCCCTGAGATACATTTAAAGGTTTGGTGACCTTACCCACAAATAACCAACCCCCTAAGTATTTGTGTTTTTTTCTTCCAAGTCTCATGTGACACCACTTTCTACTAAGTATTAGAAAAATCTAGTGTTCTTTGCTCCTCAGCTCAAGAAAACTGCATTTGAATTTTATGAGTCGTTTAGATTTTTTAAAAACTTGCTCAGAGGAGGCAGTTCACTGCCTCGTTCCTTCACCATCAATAGTTTGTCTTTTGGCTTCAAGGCCTTGGAGAAACCAATGGGTCTTGTTGATTCCTCTGACAATGTTCATTGTTTACCAGCATTCAAAGTACTGGTGAGATCCCATCAGAAAGAGGACCCTAAGAAGAGCCCACAATTATAAAGTGAGACTGGCCTTACCTGAGGAAGAAGAATTTAAAACCTTCCTGGCACAGACTGCTCGAATGGCATGTGCCAAATACCCAAAGATGGTAATGAAGAGACTCTTTGGAGATGCCCTTGAGTACAGCATTACATGAATACAGCATTGCATAGGATATGTACCCTGAAGACCTGTGGCCTTTCTGTTTTTTGTACGGTGTTGCCAGGAAGAGCCCAGGTATGTCTTTTGGGATGTGCTATGTGATTCGGTTGTGTTATCCACTTAGCAAGAAGAGAGTGGAAAAAAAAACCAAACCCGACAGCAAACTCAAACTCTGTAAAGAGATTGGAGAGAATCCAACAGAAGGTGTGATGAGATGACTAACTGTGGAGGGATTAAGCCATAGTACATATGCTCTTTTTTTTACAACTTTAAAATATTTATTTAAAATACGGTTTGTAAAATGCTTCATCTGCCCACTTGGGGACTCATGAAGAAGGGTGGGAATTCAGGGAGCTGTCCAGCTACTCCAGGAAGGCACAACTGAGGGATATATGGCATCTCTCCCTCCCTCCCCTACTCTTCTTCCTTGAACACACCCCAGGGGAGCTTCACCCCAGGGGAAACATAACAACTAGAAACAAGATTCCAAGAGGTCTGTCAATCCTCTGGGCCAAGGGTGGCCAGTGTGGCCCCACTTATCGAGTCTCAACAGGAACGCTTCCCCATAGAAGGGTGGGCTGGGCTTAGGGGGTGTTGCCTCCTGCCTGTAGGTGGGGAGCATCCTGATTGACTGGGCTGAGAGGGGCTGGTTGTCATCCCCTGCACCCCCAGCTCTTTGGTTAGCTAGGCTGATGTAGGAGAACTGACTCATTAAGGGGAGAGGTTAGCTGGAGGAAAAGATGTTACTGGGGACGGGTAGCTCAAGGGGCAGCAGCCTTAGGTTACTGCCCTCTACCCCCATCCCGGATTTCCTAAGCCAAAGTCCACGGCTCACTTTAAAAATTAAAAAAATAAAAATAAAACAGAACAAAACTGAACCAAAGGAAACAGACTTAGGAAAGATGTGGATGACCACGGAAAATGCAGCTAGGTGTTGCAGTGGATAGAGTGTTGGACCTGGAGTCAGGAAGACTCAACTTCCTGAGTTCAAATTTGGCCTCAGACGCTTACTAGCTGTGTGGCCCTGGGCAAGTCACTTAACCCTGTTTGCCTCAGTTTCCTCATCTGTAAAATAAGCTAGAGAAGGAAATTCCAAACTGCTCCAGTATCTTTGCCAAGAAAACCCCAAATGAGATCATGAAAAGTTGGACACAACTGAGAAACAACTTAACAACAACAAAAACATGCTCGTGGGATCAATGGTACCCTCTTGATTTACTGTTATTTTTTTAAATTTTATTTTATTTTTCAATAAGTAAGCATTTTTCTTCTCCCTAATATTCCCCTAACTTAAAAGAAAAGAAAAACAAAAACCTTGTAACAAATATACATAGGTAAGCAAAACAAATTCCCACATTATCCATGACAAAGACATGTCTCATTCTGTGTCTTGAATATTTTATCTCTGTGTCAGGAAGTGACTAGCAAGCTTCATCAGTGGTCCCCTGGAGTTGTGGTCAGTCATTTCATTAGAATTCTTAAGTTTTTAAAAGGTATTTACATCATTGCTTTTATTGTATGCATTTAATTATACACCAAGTTGTTTACAACATTGTTTTTGTGGTATACATTTTTCTTCTGTTTCTGTTCACTTCTCTCTGCATCAGTTCAAACAAGTCTTCCCAAGTTTCTCTGAACCCATCCCTTTCACCACTTCTAATATAACAGTAATCCATTATCTTCGTATATTGTACTTGGTTTAGACATGGGCCCCCCTTTTAATTTCTAGTTCTTTACTCTACAAAAGAGTTACAATAAATATTTTTTCTATATATGGGTTCTTTTCCCCTTTCTTTGGTCTTTTTAAGGGGCATAGACCTGGTAATGGTATCACTGTTGAGTGACTTTTGGAGCACAGTTCCAAATAATATGCTAATATTTTGGAAACTCAAGCTGGGTAAAAATAGAAATGAGCCCTGATAGTTCGCTAGAGTTTATAAAATCTATCAAGTATCCAAAGAGAGTCTTTAAGGAAAACAAACTCAATTGGCCCAGTAAACACAGGCCCTGTATGAAAGGGTAGTGACCCAGCAGGCCACAGACCCCTTATCCAAATCTCCTTGAAATAGGAGAATGGGGATTTCATAACACAAGGGACTAATGTTTGAGATTGCCCCCCAGGAGCAAACATCTGTCATAGATGTGGGATAGACTTAGGCAAATGAGCAAAGTGCCCAAATTCAGAAACCTACCCTTGACTTGGTAGAGATTACAGTTGTTTGCAAGGTAGTATGAAACTGAAGTAGGGACTGATTTGTTTAAGCAAAATTTATCAATTAAAAAAAGAAACCCAAGGATAAAGAACTTGGGTACTCTTCTTAGGATGTAGAAGACCATTTTAGTTCTCTCAAGCCATACTAATGAACTTATGCTAGGGCCACCAGGGCTTTAGGAGTAAATGGCATTGGTCAAGGTTCTAAGACCAGAGGCAGTCAACTTTCATGTCTTTCTGAGTCCTACTTGTGTTCAAATGTAAGCAAGTGAAAGATGTGGCCTCCAACTCTAGAAGGTTGATAAAAACTCATAATAAGAGTTTGGGGATGTGTGGATATCCTTGCAACTTAGATAAAGGGGCCCTGTGCTTGAGAGAGGTGATGAAGAGACATAGCTTTTGTTTTAAGACAATTTTTAAAGGTTTTTTGTTATTCTGTATTTACCAAATACCAGTTACCATAATGGGCATTTCCACATTCAAAGAAGAGAAAAAAAGAGGATTGCATTTGAAACTGACGTCCTCCTCCCAAGAGCCTGCCTCTTTTTTTAATCTTACAAGAAATCCCTCAGTTTTAAAGCTGTCCTGTTTGTTTGTGTTCCCCTCAGAACTTCCGCCTGTTCTGTGAGTTTTTAAAAATGTTCTCCACAATCCACTGACTCAGGCCTCCTTGCCATTCCTCACCGAAGATCCTCTATCACCTGGCTCTGGGCATCGTCACTAGCCTAGAATCCTCTCTCTCCTCATCTCTGTCTCATGGCTTCCCAAAAGTCCCACCTTCTGCAAGAAGCCATCATCAGCCCTCCTTGATCTTAGTGCATTCCTTCTGTGAATATCTCCACTTTATCCTGTAGATATCTTATTTGAACCTAATTGTGTGTCTGTGTGGTCTCCCCCATTAGACTGTAAGTTCCTTGAGAACAGAGACTGGTTTTTTTTGGGGGGGGGGGTTGCCTTTCTTTGTTTCCCCAGTGCTTGGCATAGTTCCTGGCACTTCTTAGGTACTTAATAAAGGAAAGAAGGGAATAAGCACTTATATATAATGCCTGCTATGTGCCAGAAACTGTGCTAAGTGCTTTTTACATAAATCTTTTTCCTTTATTTTTTTAATCTCTTTGGAGTATATATTTAGTGTCATCACTGGGAGATAGTGCTTTTGGGGCCTTACCAGATCAGTAGTCACATAGTGGTTAGGGTGACCCTAGCTTGTGAACAGGCTCGTTTATGCACTGGGGAAGCCTTTCCCACTCTATGCTCAGGTTATTTGTTGGCAGAAGAAAGCATAGATTCCCCTGAGGCCAATGACAGGGAAAAAGTTATGTGTTGAAATGATTGCTTTTGGATGGAATGTGCTAAGAAAAATTCCATGTAGTGACTAAAGGTGTGTACAAATCATGTATGAATGAATGCATTCAATTTCCATACTGTTTATGGTTGACTTGACCATGCCCCAACTGCTAGCTTCCTCCCTTCCTCCTGAATTACCTTGTCTGTAATAACTTTATATTTATTAATTCTATACATAGTTATATGCATACTCATCTTCATAGAATGTAAGCTCCTTGCCAGTAGGGATTGTTTCATTTCTTACAGCCCAGCACAATGCCTGACACATTGTAGGTGTTTCATGAATGCTTCTTGATTGATTTAATATAATCTATTATATAATCTAAATATAATATAAACAGACTATTTTATTTACATGTTTTTATTTATTTAATTAATTTTAGTTATATTTATTTATATATTTAATATGATGGAAATGTTTTATTTACATATTATTATAATATTTTATTTAATATGATGGAACAGAATATTTTGCCTAGGAGGAGAAAGGAATAAGAAGAGAAACATAACTCTAGTTTATAGTAACAGGGCATTAATCCACTTCCACAAATATTTATTAAGTAGGTGTTGTGTACAGGTACTGGGGATATAAAGGTAATTGTTTACATTTCTATAGGATAAAAGGATCATTTTATTGTTGAATTGCTTCATTCAAGTTTCTCTTTGTGACCCCATTTGGGGTTTTCTTGGCAAAAGATACTGGAGGGATTTGCCATTTCCTTCTCCAGATCATGTTACAGATCAGGAAACTGAGGCAAACAGGGTTAAGTAACTTGCCCAGCGTCACACAGCTAGTAAGTATCTGAGGCCAGATTTGAGCTCAGGAAGATGAGTCTTCCTGCCTCCAGGGCCAGCGCTCTATCCACTGTGCCACCTAGCTGTCCATCTTGTTCACTATAGGTACTTGGTATTCATAAACAAATTACCTCAGATTACCTCTAAGGACTGGAGCTCTGCATACCTGTACCCATCTTGGCAGATGAAGCTATATTCTAAGCACATTCCTAGGAATGTATATCCATATTAGCTTTTAAGCCTCTTGAAGGCTGGAATGACAGGTTTAATTTTGAGAGACATTATAGTATAGCAGAAAGACTACTGAACTTGGAATCAAAAGACTTCCATAGGAATATTATTACTTAGCTGGGTTACTAAGGACAAGGTGTTAGAGCCTCAATTTTCTCCCCTGTAAAAGAAGGACAATGATACCTGCACTCTCTTACAGGGTTATTATAAGGAGAGAAGTCTGTGATCTTATAACAGTATAGCCAGTGGAAAGATTGATAGATTTGTGGACAGAGGATCTGGGTTCAATTCTTTGCCCTTCCATATACTGCCTGAGTGAGTCCATGGCCCTTGGTCTCCTGGTCTCTAAAATGAGGCAGTAGGACCAGCCTTCTCAGGTCTCCTCCAACTCTAAATATGTGAGAGGCAACATACTATAGCAGATTAGATTCTGGACTCTCTATGCCTCCCTTTCCTCATTTGTGAAATGAAGTTGGTCTCAGTGACTTCAAAGGTCTCTTCCCAGTTCTAAATCGGGCAGCTAGGTGGTACAACCAGATAGAGAACTGGGCCTGGAGTCAGGAAGACTCATCTTTCCAGAGTTCAAATCTGACCTTAGACACTTACTAGCTATGTGACCCTGGGTAAGTCACTTATCCCTGTTTGTGCCTCAGTTCCCTCATCTTTAAATAAGTTGGAGAAGGAAATGCCAAACCACTCCAGCATCTTTGCCAAGAATGGACTCACAAAGAGTGACTTGGCTGAAAAACAACTGAACAGATGGTGAACAAGTCCCCTCCTCCCTCCCACTGAACAGATGCTAAATAAAGTAGACATTCCCTTATTTGTAGTAGAACAGAAAAAGAGGGTTGTAAATGAAACTGCAGATATAATAATAATAGTAATAATGATAGCTAGCACTTATATAGTTCTTTAAAGTTTGCAAAGGGCTATACAAATATTATCTCACAACATCCCTGGGAGGTAGGTACTATTCTTGTGCCCATTTCACAGATGAAGAAACTGAGACAAAAATTAAGTGGCTTGTAAAGCTCTTAGCACAATGTCTGGCACAGAGTAAACACTCTACAAATGTTAGCAACTTCTTCTCCTTCTTCTTCTTCTTCTTCTTCTTCTTCTTCTTCTTCTTCTTCTTCTTCTTCTTCTTCTTCTTCTTCTTCTTCTTCTTCCTTCTTCCTTCTTCCTTCTTCTTCCTTCTCCTTCTTCTTCTTTTTCCTTGCCCACAGCCACACAGCTCTAAAGTGTGTGAGTTTACATTTGAATTTAAGTCTTCCTGACTCCAGATCTAGCACTTCATCTATTATGCCAGCTAATTGCTTCTGTTATTTATACCTTACTTTTCCTTTTAAGTATGTAATAAATTCAGTCTTTAGCCATCCTATTTTTTTTCTGTTTTCTTTTCTCTGCATTTAAAAAATGCCTCAATGATATACTTTTTTCTCCCCTCTTCCTATTTCCCCTTGCCTTCCCACACTTCTCTATTGAAAAAAAAGCCTATATTAAAATATGCATATTCAAACAAAACAAATTCCCTTGTTTGCTCTGTCCTAAAATGTATATCTTATTCTGCATCTTGAGCCTTCACCTCTTTGTCAAAAAAAGCATGCTTCATCATAAATATTCCGGAATCATGAATTGATCAGCATTCTTAAGAATTCCTAATTTGTTTTTCTGTGTGATGTTGTTATTGTATAGATTGTTTGCTTGGTTCTGCTCACTTCCCTCTGCATCAGATCTCTGCATTAGGTCTTCCCATGCTTTTCTGAAACCATCCATTTCATCATTCCTTATGACGCAGTAATGATACAGTTGTTTGCCATTACCAACAAATTGTTTAGCCGTGGTTTCCAGTTCTTTGCTAATACAAGAAGAGCTGTTATAAATAGTTTTACACATGTGGGTCCTTTTACATGGACTACAAGTGAGAGAACATTGGGAGTAATTTTTTTTTTCTAGCCTCTGAATTGTTAGGGTATAATCCCTCAGGGAAAGAATATCCAGCCTCATTTCAGTGGGGGCAAGAGTTGAAAAAAACAAAACAAAACAAAATAGGACTAATGTAAGACTTCAGTCCCACCTGAGGAAGGAGTTAGAGTAATCTAATCAAACTCACCTAAGTGTGTATGTGTGTGTGTGTGTGTGTGTGTGTGTGTGTGTCTATGAGTGTCTGTGTGTGTGTGCAGCACACCCAAGGCCATTGCAGCTATAAACAGATGTAAGACCCTCCTGTTTAGTCTGGAGGCTTTACTGAAACAGGAGATAGAGATGGAAGGAGCAGGTATAGATCATGGCTGATATATGAAGCCAGGGTGAGATCCACAAATTGGACTAATATCAGCACCCGACACCTGGAACAACTCTGCCAGTCACATTCCCAGCCAGCAGGAGGTGGCATTGCAGTGGATTTGCCATCCCAGGTTTCAAGAGTATGTGGTAATGCCCGTTGAAGGTTGTTGGAATTCACCTATACAAAGATGATGATTATCAAGGGAAGGTAGGTGGCAGAAGACTACCCATCTGTTCTGGAGAGAAATTTTCCCAGGTGTCTTCCTGGGAGTTTGAGAAAGTAGGAGAGGTATATTATTAGCCTGTGACCTGGCCCTTTTATGCCTTGGGCACCTCTGACAAAAGAATGACTAGATCTAGTGGTCACAGCAGATGAATAAAGTACTTTGAATTCTGTGTGGGTTCCTGCCTCATAGGTGAATTTGAGATCCATTTTTTCCATTGCTCTTAGGCAGCTAGGTGATTAGAGGGCTACACTTGGGTGTCAGAAGGACCTAAGTTCAAATTAAGTTTCAAAGGCTCAATAATAGGGTGACCCAGACAAATCACTTGAACTCTCTCAGTCTCAGTTTCTTCATCTGTAAAATTGAGTATTAATCTCAATTATTGTTGTATGCTATTATTATATAACACCTATCCCACTGGGGTGTGTGAAGGCCAAATGAGATAACCTAAGTAAGGCGCTTTGCAAACATTAAGGCAACTCTAGAAATGCTAACTCGTATAATTATTATTTCAATACAGTGCATCCTGTGGCAGCTTAAAGCCCATGAAGTGGTCTTTTCAATCTGTACTCTCGTGACGGGGAAACAATACAAAATTGACCACACTACTGTTTTTTGGTTCATTTTTGTTTTTTAGGGAAGCACGGAAGATAACAACATGGAAAAGAAACTGCAGGGGAGTAAAAGAGGTTTTTCTCAAAGAGAAATCCCCATCCCACCAGCCGCGCTGCTACTGCTTGCGATGGTCCTTATGAACATCCTCCTCTATCTCTACCTTGATCATGTTTTCGTTTCTCCTCCGCCCTCTGGTGTGGAGGCCCGTCCATGTCCCTTTGGTACCTTCCGTATGGGACAGATGAAAAATTGTTCCCCTTGGCTATCTTGTGAATCCCTGAGAACAGGAGTCAGGAAGCTGAAACGTGTTGGGGAAGGAGCAGTGAAAAGGGTGAGTTACATTCTCAGGATGGGACTGTTATTTTTAAAATTGAATGTAAGCTCCTCGAGGGCAGGGAACTTGTTTGATTTTTGTTTGATCATCCCCAGCACCCCACACAACGGGAATGTGCCACACAGTAGGTACTTACAAGACATTTGTTGAATGAATTGCCCTCCAAGGGAATGGTTAGCCTGGCTTTGCCAGTGAGCTGGGAATCAGGGGCAAACCCAGAAAAAGGAACTTTGGTGGAGGGTTTCTTTGAACACAAAGAGAATTTCAATTAGTAGTGGTTGGGATCTAACAAAGGGCAGGTTGAGACAGTTCTCAAGTGGCCTCTTTGATACCTAGATGAGTCTTCCTTCAGATTGGCATGGCAGTACACCATTGGGACCTCCCCTGGCAATCCCAAGTAGTGGGATATTTTAATCAGAACATAGGCCAGGAGTGCTCAACTCTTCCCCATCTTTGGGAGGGGGGAAGGCAGTGGGCTGGCACTCAGATGTGGCCAATCACTGCCCTCTCTGACTCCTAAAAATTGTGTTGCTTACAATCTTAACCAGGAAAACATAAGCCATCTCAATAAGGTTTTCAGTGACTTGTTCTTTATAGACCTTTATATATATTATATATTATGTATTATATATGTAAAAATAGTTATAGACCAGGTCACCCCAAACTTTAATGAAGGGAGCAAGGTTGTTCAGTTGTTTTTCAGTCATGTCAGACTCTCTGTGACCCCATTTGGGGGTTTTCTTGGCAGAGATATGGAGTAGTTTGCCATTTCCTTCTCCAGCTCATTTTACAGATGAGGAAACTGAGGCAAACAGGGTTAAGTGACTTGCCCAGGGTCACATTGCTAGTAAGTGTCTGAGGTCAAATTTGAACTCAGGTCTTTCCGACTCCTCTCCCAGCACTCTATCCTCTGTGGCAGCTAACTACTCTAGACTTTAAAGAGAATAGATGAAAGCCCTCATGCCAATCAGTAGTGATTTTGGGTCTGGGAGTGGCTACTATGCTTCTAGCTTAGGTGATATAGGGAGACCCAGTCTCCCAAAAAAAAAAAAAAGATATTTTTAATAAAAATTAAAATTTTTGATATTCTGTACTTGATAGACACCAGCAAATAGGAGCATTTCCATATATTCTTTACATTTAAAGAAAAAAAGCCTCAAGTGTTTTATGATAAAATAAGTAAAAAAAATTGAATTGGACTTATTTTAACTTAACCAACATTTTAAAAGTGTGTGCTGTATGCAACGTATGCCATTAGGAACAGTGAATTCCATGACAGAATGATTTTTAAAGATCCGTTGCCCTCAAGAAGCTTACACTCTTCAGTGGGAAATGCAGCATGTATATGGAGAAGCAAACATAAAATAATTAAGGGAAGTGTGAAGCACCACCAACCAGAGGAAAAGAGAACAGCATCAGGGAGAAAGGGAGAAAAAGAGAACACGAAAGAGGAAAGAAAGAAGGTATAGAAAGTGAGAATTCTCTCCAGGACTGCCTTGGATTTTCCTGGAACAGGTTGCCTGTTTCTGTTCTAGACTGTCGCTGCTGTCTGAACCTAGCCCCCTGGAGAAAGAAGCACCAGCACGGATACTTGTGCAGATATGCCCAGGTGTCCACAGGTGTGTGCACTGAGAAGGGATGGCCCTAAGAAAGCCAAAAGAATGCCTTAGAGATCTTTTCAGCCCTAGGATTTTATGTGAATTTTTAGGGAGGTCTTGTGGTCTACAACCATTTTTTTCCCCCAGGCTGGGTTTTAAAAATTTTGTTGGGGGTAACATATAGATTTTTAAAACAAATACGTCATTTGGAGTTATATGAAAATTGTTTACACAGCCAATCAGTAAGCATGTATTAAACACCTGCTCTCTGTCAAGCACTATATTAAGCACTAGGGATTCAAAGAGTATGCCCCTCAAGAAGCTTGAATGCTTATTTTTGTTAATGGTGATTAAGTTTAGAATAAAAACTGACAAGACCAAAAAAAAAAACAAACAAAGAAGAGATCCTTTCTTTGCCGTTTTGCTTAGGGCCCTGGTAGTATTAGAGTGCCGCAATTAAAAAAAAAAAGATCCTTTTTTAAAAACACTACTACTACTGCTACTGCTAGCGACTACTAGCTACTGCTAGCAATAATAATAACAGTAATGAAGTATATTAATATAACTTTGTTATTTCCTCTGAAGTCCCTTATGAGTTAGAGGACCAGGCCTGGAGTCAGGAAGACCTGACTTCAAATCCAGCCTCAGACACCTAGCTGTGTGAACGTGGGCGAGTCACTTAACCTCTATTTGCCTCAGTTTCCTCATCTGTAAAATGGGGATAATAATAGCGCCTACCTCCCAGGGTGGTTGTGAGGATCAAATGAGATAATACTTCTAAAATTCTTAGCACAGCGATGGCACATAGTAGGTGCTATATAAATGTTAGTTATTATCATTATTTTTAAAAGGGAGGTAACTCTACTTCCCAGGAGTGTTGTAATGATCAAATGAGATAAAAATTCAAAGCATTTACTACCTGGCACATAGTAGACGTATATACATGTTATTATTATTGTTGTTATTGTTATTCTCTTTGTAGAGATGAGAAAATAGGCCTGGAGAAGTTCATCAGTTTGCCCAGGATCACATAGCTTGAAGGTATCAGAGCTGCGGTTTGCTCCCAGCTGCTGTCACTGATACTTTGGGGGGTGAGCATCTGTGCTGCCTTGGTGGGGCTCTGCTCAGTGCCTGCTGCTGCCCCTTTAGCAAGGGTGAGGGTGGAAATTCAGCCATAAACTTTTAAAAAGAAAATTTGCATAATAACTTTCTAGAGCATGTTAACTACCTAGGAGGTTTTTTTGTTTTTTTGTTTTTTGGGTTCTTTCCCAAGGAAATAGAAGATGGGGAAGTAGTCTTTAGACAAAAGGAAAAACAAACTGAATGATACTTCCAATTAAAAGTTCTGATTTAAAAAGTTAAATGTTTTTTTTTTTCTCTGGAGGTTCTTGCTACTCAAATCCTAATTTAAGCAGAGCACTAGAGCTACAAAATTCAATACAAGTAGTGCCTAAAAGTTGTGGGTGTTTTTTAAAAGCCTCACAAAGGTCTGATCTTGTATAATTCATACACCTAACCACCTGCTCTTTATGGTAGATATGCCCCTATATGGCCCGCTTGAGCATTTGTACTTAAAGGCCCACATTGTGGTACTGAAAGTTAATATGAGGGCTTCTGTATGGTTTCCCTGAGAACCAAGACTTAGTTACAGCCTTCTGTGCCTCACCTAGAAATTTATGAACAGTATTTCTCTGTTCCATTGCCTCCTCAGTCCCCGGGGAGCGTGTTTCTCTGCTCATTAACGTAGTGTATCACAGGTGACAGCGCAGGAGTTGGAGCAGGAACTTTTCTTGTACTCTTTCTCTAACAAGTTAACCTGGCGGACAGGAAGGGAGACATAATGAGGGGTTAAATAATTAGCTTACTTTATTCTATTCTGGTCTTCTCAAGAGGAGTTGCTGATAATGGGAATACCAACTCCTATCGCACCCCTAATTATTCCTCTCCTGGGGGCAGGCGAGAATATGGGAGCACAGCTCCTACAGGTTCCCCTAAATCTCAATGGGGCCAGTCAAGATAAGCACACACATTCACAAATCCTCCCAAGCCCTGATGGGGGCCGGTCAAGGTACACACAGCATTCCAGCTAGTATGTTCCCCCCTAAGCCTCAATGGGGGCTGGTTGAGGCAGACGTACATGCATTTCCCTGTGCATTCCCCAAATCCCCACTTACTGACCGGAGTCCGCTTGATTTATAGGGTCACAGACAAAGAAGGCAATTTGCCAGTAATAGCCTTACAAGCTTATGTCATCTCATCATTATATCTCACTGTGCAGTCACAGTGGATGTTTACAACTTTAAGCACAAATGTTTATATTAAATTATCATAGTATAATGCTGCGCAAGCATAGTGGAGATGTTTACAGGCCATGAACCTGTTGTGGCCATGGATTCTGTGAACCATTACCTTAAAAAGAATAACAAAAATCCACCTTACTTATGCACAGACAAAAGTTTTAGATCTAATGTTCATTTTTTGCTTGGTTTCAGGTCTTTCTTTCTGAATGGAAGGAACAGAAAGTTGCTCTTTCCCAGCTCACCAGTCCAGAGGTGAAAGAAGATTTCCTCCATGGTGTGAAGATGCTGAAATCCTTACAAAGCGAACACGTGGTCTTGCTGATTGGCTATTGTGAAGATGATGGCACCTTTCTTACCGAATATCATCCCTTGGGTACTTTGAAGACCCTGGAAGAAACATTAAATCTCCCTAAATATCAAAGCCTGAACACTTGGCATCACAGATTGAAACTGGCGATTAACTATGTAAATATCATTAACTATTTACACACTAGTCCCCTGGGTACATTGGTGATGTGTGACTCAAATGACTTAGACAAAATGCTTTCCCAGTACTTGTTGACAAGCAGTTTTCGTATTGTGGCAAATGACCTCGATGCCTTGCCTGTTGTCAACAAGAGTAACGGGACCCTGATCAAATGCGGCCACAGGGAACTTGTGGGGGAATTTGTAGCCCCTGAGCAACTGTGGCCCTATGGAGAGGAAACACCGTTTTATGATGAACGTATGCCACCATATGATGAGAAGACAGACATCTGGAAAATACCCGATGTGGCCAGTTTTCTTTTGGGGCACGTGGAAGGGAGTGATGTTGTCAGATTCCATTTGTTTGAGATCCCCCAGGCATGACTGTGTCTCTAAGGGAATTTAAAACCTTTTGGTAAGCATCTAGGACCTCCTGGGCTGAAGGCCTTTCCTCTGGATTCTTCTTCTTACATGCCTGGTGTAAGAGAAATGTTGTGAAAACGAGACTAATCAATGAGAGGTGGGCCCTGATGATCTAATGGAAAAATACAAGCTGCTTTTCTCGCCCACATTTTTGTCTTTCTTGTGGTTTTCTTCGGCTGCACCCAGACGGTTGCTTTCAGTCATCTCCTTGTAACCTTTGAGCTGAAAAATGGTAAAATTTGGGGGGGGGTGAGGAGAAACATGTGTGTAGAAGACATGGAAAGGATGCTGCATTTAGAGTCAGTGCCCCTGATTTCCTGGGTTCGAATTCTGGTTCTACCACTTAGCAGATTTGTGATATTAGTTGGGAAAGTCGTGTTACCTCTTCTGGACCTCAGATTCCTTATCTGTACAATGAAGGGGTTGGCCAAGATGACCTCTATGAAGTCTGTTTCCTTTTTTAAATGTATGATCTTTGGATCCTTTTTAAATCTAGCTTCTAATGTCTTTTTCAAATCGTCCCCCAGGTGAAGGACAAGGGACTTATGCCATACCTTAGAGGTAGACAACTAAAGGAAAGAAAACAGAGCAGCAAAGAGTCTTAGATAACCTGGTCTTGACTATAATTGAATTTATAAAAATCATACTAACTTAATTGCATACCTCATTGTGATATGGAAGTCACCCTGGGTTCTTAAAATTGAGGTCACCAAATAGCATGTTCTGATTGGTCCTCCAAAGCCAGAAAGGCCTCAAGAATGGATGTAGAGGTGGACTGTATGTGTTTGTACACTCACAGGACAAACTTAGCAAATAAGTTCATTCCCATCATAGAATATTGGTTGTTAGGTGATGATTTGGGGAGGAGGGGGGAAGGGAGCTGGAGACAAGGGGCAATGGTAATTCGTGAATGGATTAAGAGATAAAATGGCCTTCTCTCCCACCTGGCCCCTTTCCTTTTTCTTCTGTCAGAAAAAGGAGGCAAAAGTTTCCATGAGTCACACAATTTTTATACCATCTATTAATGTTAAGTTATTCATTGGTATTCTCGATGTATAATTGAAAAAGATGGTTGAGAGTAAGAGGCAAATGATGGTGTACAGACAGTTCATGTGCTCCATTAGTATTCTTGGGATGCTAAACGAATAAGATGAAGGCCCCTAGCATATCCTGTGTCTGCCTCCCTATGGAGACTTTATGGGAGGACACAGACAAGAGCCATACAAGATTGGCATCCATGGATGGATTGAGATCAGCATTACTGGAGGGAGTATTCACATTGGAGTTTTGGAGAGCTCTATGTGATATTAGTCCAAAGACCTAGCTGATATACTGCTACAGGAATGGAACCACAGCCATTTTGATATTCACTCTTAAGTGAAACCAGGTGTAAAGAAGTAGCAGTTTTCACCCTAAGCCTCAAGATGATGAGGTCTTTCATGGGATATTTGGGTACTTGTCCTTGCATTGTCCCCCCCCCCAAAGACTATAAATAAATAAACAGATTACTCCTGAGGTAATTCCCACTGAAGCCTCAGCATCCATTGCATAGGAGGAAGGAGTTGTAGAAGTATAAGAACTGTTTATGTGGAAGAGGGTTGGTTTTTTATTGCCTAGATGAGAGGTTCCCAAACTTATCTGGCCTGCTGCTCTTTAAAAAAAAAAATTACTCATTACCCTCCTGAAAATCTACTTTCTTTAAACCTTTAACAGTTTTTTTTTAATTTGCATAATTTCAAAAAAATATAAAAATATATTTTTTTAAAATGACACATCTTAAATTGAATAATTTATTGAGAATTTGTGGGTTTTTCCTACATTGAAATTTTGATGACACAATATTGCATCATGTAACTGTATAGTATCATGTTGTAAACAAGTCATTATACATACATATTCTTGCCCTTGCATGCTGGACTTCCTGACAATGCACTACACGCTTACCTGCCAATACTTTCTTGTTAAGACCTGTGAGTGGACTTGACCACTGATTGGTTATAACTTGCATTTTGTGTGTTTGTTTGGAAAATAATGTAATCACTACAATTTTAACTTGAATCATGTACAAATGGTTTTTCAAATTTTTCTTATCTTTTCTTCTTTCCTTATGCTTCCACCACCCCCTTATGTTTATTCAATGCCCCCCAGTTGCACCTGAGGCTACTACCACCCCACTTGATTGTTCCAGCACCCCCCCAAAGGGCGGTATCACCCACTTTGGGAACCTATGACCTAGATCATGAAAAGAATGATTTTTTCTCCAATACTTTCCTTTTAATGGTGATAAAGTTGGAATTATCAGAGTGTGTTCACTTGTCACTTGGGCTGATTTAATCAAATCACATATAGCTCTTGTGCTCTCTCACATATACTGTCTCTCTCTGTATATATATACATATTATATATGTCCATATATGTTACAATTTTTATATATTTGTTAAGAGGGCTAGCATAACATCCTCTTTCTTGGTCAGTAAAACAGAACTATTACCCAAAGCTGGTAAGTTTTTCAAAGTAGAAGGGAATGGAAATATTTTAACACTAAATCCTATAGATATAGGTGCTGCCCCCAAACCTTGCTTCTAAAACCACTGCTCTTAGAGCTGGGTTCTGAATGTGACACCTGTCTTCCTGACACCAAATGACCTGCTGTGACTAATCAGCAAGAATGACAAGTCAGCGTTACTGTCTTATTTACCAGAGGAAATGGCATGGTTCACATGACTTGACTAAATAAAACCTTCAAAGAATCCTTTGCCCATGGGCACATCCTCTTTTTCATCAGATGGGATGGTTATTCTTATTCCTATTAATGATCATTAATCAAATAGTTTAAGCTGCCTTCCCAAGCTGGAGATCTGCAGAGTTGGAAATGCATTGATACAGGTTTTGTTCCCCTGCAGCAGGGCTGAAATGAAGACTAGGCAAAGGGGTCTCAGGAAAGAGTAGGTTCTAACTGTCTGTTACTTCATCTGTAAAATGAGGGTGTTGGGCTCCAAGACCTTTAAATTACCTTCTAGCTCCAAAGCTATGATCCTGTGACATTCACCTAAGGTGAACTACCTCCTGACGCTCACCTTTGGGCAAGTCCCCAAATCCTGTGCAATGGATTGCCTGGGTCACAGTAGATAGGAAGATGGGCCGGCCAAAAGTATGTAGGTATACATTTTATATCTTCAAAAACATCCCCACCAGTCATGTGCCCATTCCACTCAGTTCTAGACCGAATAGCCCGCAGGAGTGTTTATTTGATTTTATCAGTGGGATGTAATTTCGTGTATTCGTGCTGTAATTTTCCCCTGGTCATTTCTGTCACTATAAAGTCGGTGCTTTCTATTTCTTAACATTCAAGCTTTTCTACTGAAGTAAAATAGTCAAGCTTCAAACTTGTGAGTTCTAAAGTATTACAAATAAAGGAGAGATCTTTCCTTCTTCTCAGCCCTTCCTTCTCCCAAGATCTTTGTGAGTTCAGGTGCAAACTTTTCTTTCAGGCTGTCTGCCAAGGCCACAGGCCAGGAAATCCAGGTGAATTGTTATAATTTTTTAAGGTGGTTTGAAATGGTTTTTCAAAGAAAATATTACCAAGTCATATGAGAAAGTTCATGTTTTGCCTAAAGCACAGAAAGAGAAATTCATGACTTCCTAGTGTAAAGTCTTCTGTCATGCATAAATGTGATCTTAAGAAGAGGAAAATGATGTCTCACTATTAAAGCACTGTCAGAAAATTGAAATCCTGCCTCTTTCATTGCTGCTTTTTTAATATAAATGTATGCACTCCAGGATTTTGGTGCCTGTAGTTCAGAGGTTGTTAAGAATGGAGAAGCCCTACATAAAGTATGATGGAAAGTATGTGGGGCCTGTCTTAAAATCCCAGCCTGACTTCTTATTCCCAGCATGATTGCCGGGAAGTCACTTAACACTGCTTGTCTTTTAAGTGCCAGCTCTTCAACTGGTCTGGGCCCTATTTCCTCATCTGTGAAATGAGAGGGTTGGACCAGATGGCCTTGAAGGTCCTTTCCAGTGCTAAGTTTGAGACCCTATGGTCTGTGACTTTAAGTGATTTCGGATAGCCAGGTGACTCAGCAGTCTTCAGAAAGACACTGAAAGTCAATGTTTTACTACTGTACAGGACCAGAGGATTCAGAACTGGAAAGAACCTTAGAGATCATTTTGATGATGAGAAAACTGAGATCCCAGGAAGACTTGTCCAAGCTTACACAGGTAATAATAATGATGACAATGATGGTGGTAATAATTAGCTGACATTTATATAAGCTTTAAGGTTTGCAAGGCTGTGCATATCTTATCTCATTTGATCCTCACAGTATCCCTATGAGATTGGTGCTATTAATCTTCATTTCCTAGATGAAGAAATAAAGCCCAGAGAGGTTAAGTTACTTACCTGGCATCACAAAGCTAGAAGTGTCTGAGGAAGGATTTGAAATGGTCTTCCTGACACCAAGCCCAGTGCTCTATTATGTCATGCAAAGCTGAGATTTTACATTCAGGTACTCTACTGCTAAATTCAGTGTTTTTCCAGTATACACTGAATTCTTTTTTTTTTTTTTTTTTTTGAGGCAATTGGGATTAAATGACTTGCCCAAGGTCACACAGCTAGTAAGTATCTGAGGCTGGATTTGAACTCAGGTCCTCTTGGCTTCAGACCCCGCTTTCTATCCAGTGCACTGCCTAGCTGCCCCTACACTGAATTCTTAACAATGTTTAGAGTGAATGGGGGAATAAAATATATTTAAAAACACTTGCATGTTAAAAACCTTAACTTGGAACTGAGAGAAATGATCATTAATAACCGATAATTTGGGGACATTCAGAGCTCTCATCCTTCTTCCAAAGTCCTGATTTTAAAAGTTCATTCTCGTGAAGGACATTGCTAAATAATGGGATTGGACTAATTTTCTTGTTCACAACCCCACCATGATGGACACCTGGTGTTCTATTCA